TGAGTGCATCCCTCTCCTCTCTACTGATGTTGGAAGGTGGTGGTTTGGCATTGCTGAGGCAGGATGAAACTTTGATTCTGAGTTGTTCTGCGTCACACTCTTTAATTTTTTTTGTTGTGGATGGCTGATTCTGTGGCTAACAGCCATCAGGGTGCTAACGATCCATCATTAGGCTGCTGGAAGCCAGGAACATTGCCTTCAAGTCTGGAAACTCAGAGGAGCTGAGTAGGACAAGGAAAGAGCTGGTTGCTGGTATTAAGAAGGCTAAGGCCACATATGCACAGAGGATCGAGGGTCAGTTCACCTCACAAGATGCATAGAGCATGTAGAGGAGCATCAAGTGTATAATAGATTATAAAGGCAGGAGTGAACAATGCCCTAGAGACCTATCTCTGCCTGATGCCCTCAACAAGTTCTACGTACGCTTTGAAGACCCAAACAGACCACCCAGCACCAGACTCACCTCACCACTAGATGAAGAGCTTCTCAGAGTGACCTCGGCAGAAATAAGGAGTACTTTCAAGAGGATTAATCCTCGCAAGGCAACCAGCCCAGACAACATGGGGGAGTGGTGGTGCAGAGGTTAGAAGATGGGCCTGTGATTGGAAGTCGCAGGTTCAATTCCTGGTAGTTGTCAACATCAAAATGTGGCTGGAAAAGGTGGAACACCCACACCTCCCTCCACTCTCATTCGCCTCACTCTGGGCCCCTGAGCAAGGCACTTAACCTCCACCATCTGCTCCCTAAACAGGTCTCTTGAAAATGAGTTCTCGTGGTTCAGTGAGACTACCTGGATAAATAAAGAGTAAATGAAAAAAACAACAACATCCCCATGAAAGTGTTGAAAGAATGTGCTGATCAGCTCTGTGAGGTGCTGGCAGACATCGTTAACACCTCACTTACCCTGGAGACAGTTCCCACCTGCCTGAAGACTGCCACCATCATCCCAGTCCAAAAAAGCTCTACAGTGACTGGTCTGAATGACTATCAGCCAGTGGCCCTCACCCCGATAGTCGCTAAATGCTTCAAAAAACTGGTCATGACTCGCATCAAAACAACCATCAACATCAATGAGGACCCTCATCAGTATGTATACCGTGAGAACCGATCAACAGAGGATGCAATCTCCTCTGTGGTCCACACTGCGCTCAACCACCTGGAGCAGAAGGACTCCTACTTCCGTATGTTCTTTGTGGACTTCACGTCTGTCTTCAACACCATGATCCCCCAAACCCTGATGGACAAATTACTCACACTAGGACTAAGCCCCTCCATTTGCAACTGGGTACTAGACTTTTTAACAAACAGACCACAGTTAGTGAGAATCCACAACCTCTCCTCCTCCACCATAACCCTCAGCACTAGCTCTCCTCAGGGATGTGTGTTGAGCCCCCTCCTGTTTACTCTGCTCACGTATGATTGTGCAGCTACCCATCCAGGCTGTCACATTGTAAAGTTTGCAGATGATACAGCGGTGGTGGGATGCATCACAAACAATGATGAGTCCAGCTACAGGCAAGAGGTGGAACACCTGGAGAGCTGGTGCAGAGAGAATAACCTTCACATCAATGTGAAGAAGATGAAGGAGATGATTGTGGACTTCAGAAGGAACAAAAACATCTACACCCCCTGAACATAAGAGGATCTGTGGTGGAAGTGGTCTCCAGCTACAAGTACTTGGGTGTGCACCTGAACAACAACCTCAGCTGGAGCAACAACACCACCAGCCTGATCAAGAAAGCTCATCAGAGACTCTACTTCCTCAGACGGCTGAGACGAGCTGGTCTGGGAAGCTCGGTCCTCACCTCCTTCTACAGGTGTGCAGTGGAGAGCATCCTGTGCTCCAGCATCAACGTGTGGCATGGAGGCTGCACAGCTGCAGAAAGAAAAGCTTTGCAGAGAGTGGTGAAGGCTGCACAGAAGATGTTGGAGTCAGTCTCCCCACCATCACAGACATCTACACCTCCAGATGCAGGAAGAGGACCACCTGCATCATGAAGGACCCCACCC